TGACATTGCAGCCCCACTGATTGACTTGACCAAGAAGAATTCACCGTGGCACTGGGGTGAAAAAGAAAATTTTGCTTTCGAACAATTAAAGAAAATTTTTGCGACATCGCCGGTCTTAGCACAATGGGATCCAGAACGTGACACCGTGTTAGAAGCAGACTGTTCTAGTTATGCACTGGGAGGATGTCTATCACAATTGGATGATCTGAAAAGATTACGGCCAATTGCTTATTTCTCGAGAAGATTGACGGGCGCCGAATACAATTACCCTATTCATGACAAAGAAATGCTCGCGATTATTGAATGCCTCAAGGAGTGGCAAGCCGAATTAAAATCAGTCGAAAAGCCTTTCACAATACTTAGTGATCATAAAAATCTTAGTTATTTCGCCTCCAAAAAGCTACTCAACCAGCGACAAGCCAGATATAATGATACTTTGCAACAGTTTAATTTCAAAATTCAGTGGCGAGCTGGTACTGCTAGTCAGCGACCAGACGCATTGTCGAGGAGGGAACAGGATAAGCCTACAGGACTCGACGATGAAAGAAACGCGGGAAGGGTAATCCAGCTGTTACCATCAGTTTCTCTTTATCCTGTTAACACCAGAAAAACTAGTCGTAACACTAGTCGATCCATTGACCCAAGCGCCGTGGCAGTTATTTTTGAGAATGATGAGTTGCAAGCTTTGTGGATGAAAGGTGTCGAAACGGATATTGATTGGAAACGTGCTCGAGATGCTGTGAGGGCAGGTGAAAGAAGTTTCCCCCCAGATATTGCCTTAAAATATAGAGCCAATATAGCTGAATGTACGGTGGCGGCAGATAACGTGCTGAGAGGTCGTGAAAACAGAATTTGGGTGCCAGATTATGAGCCACTCCGAACAGCTATTTTACAGCAGACACACGATAGTCATCTCGCGGGACATCCAGGGAGGGACACAATGGTTGGAATTTTGCTGCGAAGATGGTTCTGGCCTAAGATGAGAGAATCAGTGCGCCGGTTTGTGCGAAATTGCGACGTTTGTGGACGCGCAACAGTCTGGAGGGAAGCAAAAGCTGGCTTTCTTCGGTCATTACCAATTCCAGAACGAGTTGGCTGTGAACTTACTATTGACTTTGTCACTGATTTGCCTCCTTCAAATGGATGTACCAATATTATGGTTATAACTGATCGTTTGTCGAAAGAAGTCTTCATGTTTGGTACAAACTCAATGACATCATCGGAGTGTGCGAAAGTGTTCATTGATCGATATTATCGTTACCACGGATTTCCTAGATACTTAACTAGCGACCGTGGTAGCGACTGGTTAAGCCATTTTTGGAGTACATTCTGTGAGTTGACGAAAATTTCGCAGCGACTGACAACGGCATATCACCCTCAATCAAATGCCAGCGAGCGGGCTAATCAAGAAATATACAAGTACCTACGATCATTCTCTTGCTACTCGCAAAATGACTGGATGGATTTGTTGCCAATGGCGCAGCTAGCACTTAATGCTCGGCCGAACTCATCTATCGGGAGAATGAGCCCGTTTTTCTTGAAGCATGGTTACGATTTAGATCCTGTAACACAACCGTCGCCGTCTACCTGTGAAAAGTCGCGACACCCAGGTCGCCTTTCAGCGATAAAATATGTTCAAAGGTTAAAAGATGCGCAGGACTATGCTCAAGCAGCGATGGCTTCCGCACAGCAACGTTATGAGGCTAACGGGAACGTGATTCGTCGACAACCTGAGAAGTTCCGAGTTGGAGATAAGGTCTGGTTAAACCTGCGCCATATAAAAACTCCACAACTGTCAAAGAAGTTAGCGTGGCAACACGCAAAGTACGAAGTGACTGCCGTTCCAGACGCACTTACAGTTGAGCTAAACGTACCGGGTAACATCCACAAAAGATTTCATGTGGAATTAATAAAGCGAGCTGGCTCAGATCCATTCCCGAGTCAATTTAGAGATGATGCTCAGAACCCTCCCATAATCGATGAGCTAGAGGAGCCCGAATTTGAAGTTGAATCAATCCTACGTGCGAGAACTATCCGTCGTGGTAGGGGAAAATATCGACAGGCACTGGTAAAATGGGTCAGCGAAGCAAATCCGACGTGGGAGCCGGTAGAATTTATTGAAGACACCTCAGCCCTTGATAATTTTGAAGCGAAATTTGGACCTATTGCAACAAATGATGGTCCCCCAGAGTCTAGTGTCGGAGCGTTTGTCGGACCAGCTGAGCCAGGCACCCTTCGGAAACATCGGGAGCGGGGTAAAAAGCATCGCAACAACAAGGGCTATGGGAGATGAATATATAAATTTTTTTTTTTTTTTTTTTTTTTTTTGTTTTTGTTAGCTGCATATTTAAACAGTCGTAGCCGGCAAAGACGAATTCTTCACCTTCCAGTGGTGCCGGTGTAATCGCTCAGTATGCTCTGCATATCTGGGATAGCCAAGAAGAATCGCATCCGAATCGAAGTCGAAAGCAAACACATGTATATCTCCATTTGACGACTTCTCAACCATGCAGCACTCATCATTATCTTCTGAGTCCTCAACCCCGATCTAAGCACATATCAACTCGCCTCGCCGACCGATAGAGACGTCACCCTAACTGCAAACAGGAGCTTGCCTCATTCATTACCGGCCATCACTCTCTACATATTTACGACGCTATTTATACCCGCAAGGAGGAAATCAAGTCGAAAAATACAAAGTTGGGGTCTTGGTTTATGGGGGACTGCTGCTCTAATGGGGTTATACATCTTGAGGAAGAACAGGCAGCTGAGATGTGGAGCGAGAGGAGAAAGAAGACACTGAAGACTGTGTTGGGACTGATATATTCGAGGAGTTTCCAACTTTGGATTTTTTGTGGGCGCCAAGACCAAGATTTCGGCTAATTAGCCAGGAGGGCTTCTTTTGTCGATGAGTCAACGGCACTCCCCAGCGCCCTGGACGGTACAAAAGAAGTTAGGCTAAGCTACTATACAGCAATCACGCTCTGTCAAGACTTTTCTGACATTTCAGCACGACCTTCGGGAAGGAGTTGGAAGGAGGCTAGAAAGGCAGAGGGTGAATTTCCCGAGGTACACACAAGTCTGCAGCGCCCAGCTGGCCGGCCTCTTCGAACGCTTCAGAAGGGGCAATATGTCTTCGGATTTATTCCTAATGTCGGTATTAGAAGAGCCCCGCACCCAGTGGTTTTTGCGAATTTTCCCGGCTGCCATACACCCGCAAATGGCCATCGTTTCGTTGGCTGGAGAGGGGAGATAATGAAGGGCAAAGGGCTCCTCTTAGTGTATGATCGAATGAGGACTTGTGAGGGGTGGTACTGTTTGAGGGGAGCTGTATGGGAGGCATAGGAGGGGATATACTACTGGTATAGGTATCCTTGGCCTGTAGGCAGAGAGGACCTGCATGTCCTACATAGTCATAGACTCAGACAGGACAATAAAATGAATTAATAATAATAATAAACAGTCGTAGTTCAAAAAAAAAAAAAAAAAAAAAGGAACGGGAGGGGAATTGTAACGGCTAGTGAGCCGATAATTGTCCTGTATCACGTGATGTTGATCACGTGCCTCAACAATTCTGTGAAAGGGCGAAACTTTACTCTAGTTTATTCTGAACATGACTAGAGGATTCTAGCAACTGGCGTTGAGACTGTGAACTGGTATCAGGGAAACATAACAGAGGCTAGTATCAGACAGGAAGGAATATTCTAGATAGCCTAATAAGTGTATAAATAGTTGAGTTAGGACACACATATTGTGGTATAGAAAATAATAAACAACCTTCGTATATTTGATCGCCCCAGCATCTATACCTCGAACTGTGACACTATTAAGCCACATCCAGAAGTTCTCGATGGCTTTTAGCGCAAATTCGATGTTTCAGAATTTCAAAGTTCCCTCACTAAGCCTGAAAATTTTGGAGACTTCGGTAAATAGTGAGTCATTTTGGCGACCAAACCATCAAAATATTTAAATTAAAGGATTCTGATTTTGATTTCATTTATCCCGTTCGGGTACCCTATGGATCCATGTTTGTGGGTAAACCAATAATCTTTACCAAAGAGGAACCAATTCGGTGGAAACGCTCTGATTCTATCTGTCTTTTGTCTATCGGATTTCTAGATTTTTCTTCAAAAAGTGCGCTAACACTGTTCATCCAGTGTGAATTCTGTCCTATTCATTTCACCATCGCTTCATCTTTTCATTGACTGCTATCTCCACCTCTTCTGCAAGCCCGAACTGTTCAAAACCGGCTGCTAGTAAGTATCCACTCTCTCATTCTCTTTATATCATCCGGGCTGTTAATCCTAGCTTCAAAGGTCCTATTATTTGCCTGTCGCAGTATCTCTCCTATTCCCATAGGCCAATGATGACAAGTCAAGACCATACATTTGACGTCTAGTGACGGATATCCACACTATTATTTTGAATTTGCCACTCCGAGGATTTTCCTTTGATACAAATAAGAGTTGAGGCAAATATGCTCACTTCTCATCTGTATTCATGTAATATTTTGGCCCCACAAGGGTTTCGGTGGATGTTTTAGGGCGTGTTTGTTCAGGTGAGTCTTTTTCTGCCTGTTATCTTGTCGGTGATGAAAATTAAGGGATTGATATGGAACCAATTTTATTGAATAAAAATATAAATTAATTATAAAAACGGAGACCTGGCTCTACTAACAAACTTGTGGGATCATTTATAAGTGGGACAGTTCTTAATGAAAAATATACTGATAATAATGGAGAACTTAATCATGACACATCCTGTAACTCCATTTTTTCCAAAACATAAAAGAGCGATTGTATGAATTTATCTCACTTGCTACCTAGATGACTTGGTAATATCACTTTCTCCTCTCGTTTCTCATAGTAATACCAGACTCCTATTATCAGCATCTTCATCTTTTTCCAAAAATCTCCAAGACTGAAAAGCCCAAGATATTTGGTAAGTCAAAATAGTCGCCAAGATTTAAAATAATTAAAGTAAAGAAGGCTGCTTGAAAAATGAAGAGCACCACACTTGCTTCAGTTACAGTATTCCTGAGCATGTCTTTTCTAGCACATGCTTTGACTGGCTATGATTGTGAAGGAGAAAATGTTTCACATGAAGTTATCATGGGACAGGTTAACAAGAGCTATGACGATCGTGCCCGTCAAAATCCCGAAGATACCTTTTTTACGAATAGCAGAAGCTTTAGGGGTGTTGAATTTCCTTTTCGAGTTTCCGGAGCTCCAGGTATGTGAATGACATTTTGAAAAATAATTCATAGCTGATAAAATCAAAACCATCAGCTAGTCAATCAACAGTTTTAATTTATTTCAATAATGGAAGAGAAGTCTTAAATGTGTATTTAATAACTTCTGGCAATAGAATAATGTGCTCTCCTGTTAAAGAGTGGTCTTAGTGGCCTATGGTTGGCATACCAAAAATACGAAAGCACTTACAAAACAAAATTACCATTCTTGATCTGAGGTAATTACTATGCGTGGAAGAAAATTAGAGAAAGAAGTATAGGCAGAGCAAATGAGGAAGATATGATTTTTCGGACAGTAATTTTAGATTACAAAACCGGAGAATAGAGGCTACATCTTGCTGTACTGTATTGGCAAGCTACATCAATTTATTGTGAGAGTGTATTCAATATTTTAGAATCTGTTAAGGAAATAATGACCCTTCAGTCATTGAGGTTGTAGAGCGTATTGATTCGAGTAACTACCGAAGTGAAACTAAGCAGAGAAATTGTGGTTAGGTGTGTATCAACAACGTAGCCTACTTGACAGCCCCAGTTATTCTGAATTCTAGGCTCAGATCTTCAATCCCACCATATCTTGGGCTCTTACTTTAGTGGGGGGAGTTCATGCATTTAATAGCTGGTCATGTAATAAAAACTAGAGAGCTATAAAGTGATGTAAGCAATTTTTCTCTTTACCAATTTTATTTCTTTGCTCTGTATTATCCATTGGATATCATTTGTAAATAATGAGAGACTATGGCAGGCCGTGTTGTAATCCTAGTCCGTGCTAACATAACGTAGAGACGTGCATGGTCTAGGTCATGGATTAATATAGTCGCTATGCCTACACAATTGAGGTAAGCTACGTAGTGGTTGTAGAGATCTGTTGAGGATCAGGATGTTGAGAAGTGATAGCAGTGCACGGACCAGCTTCTCATGTATTTAGACAGGTGGTCAGGCACTGCCCCCAAAAGTGTCCAACACAGATCACACACTTTATCCATTATACTTTAGCAAATAATAATCCCTTCTAAAGTCTACAACTCAGTTCTCTAGCATTATATCACAACTGTCTCTAAGTCTATCCCAAGAATATCTCCAGTGCTCATCATTCATAACAGGCCGATATTCATGTACATTCAAACTTCGAGCGCAGGATAATAAGATGCTGGGTTTCATTTGCTATGTTGGGTCTACCTAGGCGCCAACACATCGGGTAGTTTTATATAGACTGGGCTAATCCGTACTTGAGGAGCTCACGTGCTGTGCGCGGGCACGAAGTTAAATATTATAAATAAATATTCACGCTTTGCCCTAGTGACTTGCTCCTGTGGCGAAGAAAAAAGCCCTGATCACTTCTGCTTCTGCAGTATAGGAAGAAATCGTGCCCGCCTTCGCGGTGGACCTCGTCATCCTTGCCCCGGCATCAAATGGATACTTGGCACACCTGAAGGTGCCCTCGCCTTCGGAAGCTAGAGGGAAATCTGCTACATTTAAATTGGAAAGCAGAGTGGCGGACAGCTGGTTTGGTTTGTTCATTAACGTGCTCGGTAGAGTGACTACCGTTGCACTCCTCCTGGAGCTTAAGCACGGGTGGGGCCGGACCGGACCAGGTTAACTACCATTAAGTACATCTACCTCGTCCCACCTGAATGACCGGACCGCCTCAGACTTCACCTGTTATGGTTATGAGGTTATGTACGACGTCTTGGAGTCTGGAGCTTAACAGTCTGCGGAGCTGAGGATAGAGGAAGATGTGGAGATTAAATTAATTAGAATCTATGTGTATATGTATTAAATTGGGAGGCCTTCTATAGCTTTATGACTGTGGAGAAGACAAGGGAATTAGTACAGTGGAAGGAGGTCAGATAGAGTAAGAAACGATAGTGTTGTATTCACGAGAGTGAGATGGACTAAAACTACGAAGTACAAACTTTCTCCACGCGACTGAGACATGAATCAAGGGAGGAGGTTAGGAAGGTTGAGAGACGCTCTTAGCTATACACAGGTCTGCAGCGGCCGGCTGGCCGGCCTCTTCGTCATAGGAGCGCCCCGCACCCAGTGGTTTTTGAGACTTTTCCCAGCAGCCACACACCCGCAAATGGCCATCGTTTCGTTGGCTGGAGAGAGGAGATAATGACGGGATAACGGCTCCTCTTAGTTTGTACTCGAATGAAGACCTGTGGGGTTATTACTGCTGGAAAGAAGTCGTGAGGGAGGCAAAGGAGGGAGTACATTACCCGAGGCATAGATACTTCCGGCCTGTAGGCAGAAAGGACCTACATATCCTTTCATAGTTATAGACTTTTTAGGACAATAAAGAACCACTCACTCACTCCACGCGACTGATCTGCATGAGTAGCGTTACTGACGCGACTCCTAAGTTTGACCTTAACTATCTCGGCTAGCTCTTATACCAACCAGACGCACCTTGTCATTTAACAATATGTATATATCAAGGGATAAAGCAGCGTAGTCTATCTCTACCAGAGAAGTGTTCCTAATACTCTGCGCACGCGCATCGACTAGTCCTTCTGTTAAGCAAAGTTATACTAATATGAATCTCTCTCGGAGTTTATTGAATTGATTGTCTCCCCCATGAGGAATCTATCTAGGTACTATATACATCTTGAGTATCCTACTAATTCCAAATATAGACTGAGTATTAGATTGCCAATACGAACTGCTCAAATCTCTGTTCCATACATGGTTCTGAAATTGGCTGTTACATTATCATGGGCAATATAGAAACAACAAGGGAGTTGTGCGTCTGAAATTGGCCATCCGTCTAGTCGCTAATTGTAACATTTGCATGACTAAGTGTTATATTAACTAGGCTATATGGGAGCAGGACGATGGATACTCTTGGGGAAGTTATGCTCACAGTAGGTCTCTATAGTCGCTGTCGCGTGTGTTCTCGTGATATGTAAGACTTGACTCTATATTCTCGTATAATGGAAACTTAGTTACAGTGAATGGACGGAGGTTGAGACCTCCTTATATCTTGCTCCAGACTTACTGTGTTGTTCACAGCCTAGTGCTAGAACATTCTCTTATGATATCATTTCTCTCCTACGAGAAATGAACAGCTCGTTCTCTCTCAGTCTATCAGTCTCTCGCTGATTCCATTATCTCTATTCCACCGAGTTCTAGTTTGGTCCAGTATACCCACATATGCATTACACACTAAACACCCCACGGTTTAGTTCCACAGTCACGTGCATATGCTATGACGCGACCTAAAGCATGTACCATGGTAAGTTACATGGATAACACAACACTAAGTTATTGCCCTTGATGCATCAGTCCAGTTTACTTGCTTGTAAACTACTCAACTTAAACATCATGAGACAACATTTAAGCTTAGGGTAATCTGTTTGACACCTTCACTGTGACTTGGAACCTTTGTGGTAAAAACCCCCTGAACTTTTCAATTTGTATAATCACACATAACATCGTTCATCAAACCTTCCAAACCATCGCATTACGCGCAGAATCAAGCAGCATCATGGCTGCGTTTAACCAGCCGTCGTCCTCGGCGTCGATCGACCCAGGCGACCACCTTCACCCGAGCCTTCTTGGGGTTGCTGCTGCAATGGAGCAATCAGAACGCGGACGAAAGCAGCGAATGAGCGTAGCTCAAGATTTCCTGCATACTATTGACGCTTGGGCAAAATCCAAGGTGGGAACTGAAGGCGCGACCCTAGTTGCGCCACTTATAGAAAACATTTCACCTATCGTGACAGCATTTGCGATAGGCAAAACCAATGCCAAAATTAACATAGGCAAGAAACCAGCACCCGAAACCACCCAAGAACCAATTCCTGGGCCTAGGGCGACAAAACCAGCCGAGAAACCCCGCCACGAACTTCCTCCAAAGCCACGCGAAAATGCTTCCCCGTGGGTCACTGTAGCGCGGAAGGCGGCCAAGCTCCCGGACCCGCCAGTTAATCTGGTCAAACATAGACCTGTCGTGCATACAAAGCCGAAAAAACAAGAACCACCCAAAGAAGACAAAAGACTGTTCCTCCGATTAGGTCAAGGACATCAGTGGCGGAAGTTGTCACCTGTCACAATAAAGAAGATTGTAACTGAAAAAGCTGGGGTCGCACCCTCAGCCATCATAGCAATGACACAAGTTAGGTCTGGCCTAGCAATTGAGTGTGCATCAGACGCACTCAGAGAAACAATCCTGAGTGTTGGCGCTTCTCTCCAAAAGGAGGACATAACAATTGAGCCTGCCTCAGACTGGACCTCTGTCATGGTCCCTCATGTACCAGTTAACATCCGGACATTGGACGGAAGAATAGGAGTCACCAGCGAAATGGTGAAGACCGAATGCCAGTCAGTGTGTGGTGTCGCGCCAATACAGGCGCGCCCAAATGACATAAAGCTGGGTCAGTACTCCACCAGTTGGATTGTACACTTCAAACAGGCACCAGCCAACCTAAAGTTCAGGCTGTTCGACGAGAGTGGACCAGCCATACCATTCTCTCGTAAACGGCCCATCGAGCAATGTCAACGCTGCTGGGGTTATCACTCGACAAGGAACTGCGTCAAAGGACAGCGGTGCGTGAAATGCTCGGGCACGCATGAAGCAGCAGAATGCACAGCCGACATTCCCAAATGCTCAAACTGTGCTGGACCACACGAGTCAACACATTTGGACTGTATGGCCCGTCCAAGGCGATACCATGGCCAAGTGACATCACGATCACCGGCAGAGCTACGAATTATTCGAGAGCAAGGACATCGAGATTTTAAGGCCGCAATATTAAGATTTCAAGAAAAAGGTAAGGCCCGCGAGGTCATTAAAATACCAGAAGAAACGATGGTTGATAATGAGTAATACACCAAATTCTCACAAGCACAACCGAAAATATAGCACCCTTCTATTTCACCAAGTGAACGTGGGAAAGGGCGGACCTAATATGGACATAGCGCTGCAACAGGCGTGGGACGTAGGAGCGCACGTTGTCATGGTACAAGAACCATGGACATTGAAAGAAGATGGGGAGTATAAAACGAAAAATCATCCTGGCTTTCACAGCCACAAGCCCATCGGAGATACAGGAGGTCGCCCAAGAGCAATTACTTTTACCCGGAAAGGTCTCGAAGCCTCACAAATACATACGGCTCCCACAAGACAAACTTTGGACTACTGCTTCGTT